CCCCAAAACCCCAAAACCCCTCAGTTAGCAAATGATTAAAGGATAAATTTATTGATATAATAAAATAAATATCTATATTATAAATATCAAATGGAGTCCTCCAAGAATTAAGCTGAATTCCACGATTATCTCAGTTTTAGACACGATACTGAGATCCTATCTGCCCTTGACAAATAAAGAAACGGTAAAAATTTCATTTGATTATCCTGACTGGTTCTCATTCCTGATATAGAAAAAATTATATTCTCGACAGGGGTTATAAAATACAATAGGTTCGGAATGAAGTAAGAGAGAAATCTCCTGCTTACAAATGTCTACTTATCAAACCTTAAAAAGAAAAGTAATTACCTTTTATATTGCAACCTTATAACAATTTACTATAGCATTCCAAAGAAAGATTCCAATAGTGAAGGTAAAGGCCGCAACAAAATCGACATAGGAAGGATGTTTAGAGTTTATTGTGCATGTAAAATAAGAATATGACTATAGATTTGTCTGCGATGAGTAAGCAATTATGAATTCCGACATGGTCATTGACCAATTTATTTATTTAGGAGAGACGAATTCTTCAGAGCACTTAAGAAGGTGTACTATGATCTTAATGGAGAAAATTTACCAATCTATGGAGTTGTAATACTAATTGATTGAATCATTTCTTTTAGCCTAACACAAGACTTAAAGATTATGCAACCTCTAAAAAAGATATGAAGAAAGGCGCAGAAATAGTTCCAGAAGAAAACTATAGGATGAGAGGCGAAGATCTTTACACCCCTATATAGAGGGATTTCGGATCTAAGAGCGGTTCTATAGCCAGTACAGCTGCTAGCTCAACCGATACTAGTACTATTGAGAGCTATAACAATTAATTCCCTGAGGAGTATTCAGAATCTACTGGATTCAGAGAGGCCTCAACAACCTTATATGCTAGATCTGGCGATAAGAAAGTTGGTCTTTAGGACTTCCTAATCAGGAAAGTCATTGGTAGAGGTAGCTTCGGTAAAGTATTCTTGGTCGAGAAAAAAAATACTAGCGAAGTATTCGCAATGAAATCACTGAGAAAGGATGTCATAATAGACTACGACTAAGTTGAGAGCACTAAACTAGAAAAAGAGATTCTGATGTAAGCTGATCACCCATTCTTGGTTGGTATGCATTACGTCTTCTAGACTGAATAAAAGATCTTCTTCGTAATGAGATTCGTCAGAGGAGGAGAACTCTTCATGCATCTAAGAAACAGCACCAGATTCACTGAAGACAGAGCTAAATTCTATGCTGCTCAAGTCGCTCTTGCTATTGGTCATCTTCATAAAAAGCATATTATCTATAGAGATCTCAAGCCAGAAAACATTCTAATGGACGAGGATGGTTACATCTGCTTGACTGACTTTGGTCTAGCTAAAATCCTCAATGACAACGCTTAAGCGTACTCATTCTGTGGAACTCCAGAGTATTTAGCTCCTGAAATCCTAAATGAGAAAGGACATACCTTCCCAGTTGACTGGTGGGCACTAGGTATTCTTACTTATGAAATGATTGTTGGTTTCCCACCCTTCTATACTGGAAGCAATAACAATCTTAAGATGTACGAGCTAATTAGAAAGAAGCCAGTTTACTTCCCAGATCCACAAAGACACAAAATTAAGATGAGCGATGAGTGCAAGGATTTCATCACAAAGGTATACAAATTGATATCGGTCTTAACATTTTATAGTTACTCGATAAAGATCCTGCAAATAGATTAGGAACAAAAGAAGGACTCGATGAAATTATGAAACATGAGTTCTTCTCCTCGATCAGTTTCGATGAACTACTTTCAAAGAGGATTGAGCCTCCATTCAAACCCAAGCTCTCAGCTGATTTGCTTGATGTATCCAATTTCGATACCTAATTTACCCAAGAAGAGGCTATAAATTCGGTTATTCCAGAAGCTAAGCTTTAGCAAATTAAAAAGAATCAAGAGGCTTTCAATGGCTTTACAGACTGAGTGGATATTATCAATTCTTATTGATCTTTATAATTTTATTAAGTCTTTAAGTTGCATCTCCTCAATATATATATTCAGACTCCCTTAGGGGTTTTGGGGTTTTGGGGTTTTGGGGTTTTGGGGTTTTGGGGTTTTGGG